TGGTAACGCCTTGGCGCGCATGGCTAAGAGCGAGCCGACGGCGCCCGAGTAGGCCCCGAGTAGGCGGGCCGACCGGCCCGGCGGACCCGCGACGCCCAGGCGGGTTCGCAGCCAGCGCGTCCTCCTCGACACCTGGATGTCCTGGATGCCCTGGCGGCCACCCCACCCCCCTCCGCAACTTCCCCCTCCTCCTCTTCCTGATCATGCCGACTCGTCCTCTCATCCACCTCGTGTCGTCCGTCTTTTTTTCGTTGTTATTGCGTGCCCTCTCTCTCACATTATATATCTCTCGCCTCTTCTTCGCGTTCTCTTTTTGCCCAGCCCCTCTTCATAATCACCCTATCTCTATCTTATTGTGTCGTTTCTCTTTCTCTTTCTCTCTCTCTACATATGTAATCTCTCGATATCCTCCTCCCTCCTCCCCCATCCCATCGCTCCTCCTCGCTCCTTCTCCTCCTCCTCCTCCTCCCCCTTGTCCTTCTCCTCCTCCTCCTCCTCCGCCTCCCCCTCCTCCTCCTGCCTCCTCCTGCCTCCTCCTCCTGCCTCCTCCTGCCTCCTCCCTCCCCCTCCCCTCCTCCTCCTCCTCCTCCTCCTCCTCCTCCTCCTCCTCCTCCTCCTCCTCCTCCTCCTCCTCCTCCTCCTCCTTCCTCCTCCTCCTCCTCCTCTTCCTCTTCCTGGGGGGGGGGGGGCTCGATCGGAGTTCCCAGGAGAGCGATGGTGCAATTGGGGCCCTCCTGGGGCCCCCGTGGACCCATGGAGGTTTCTTGGGGCAGTCGGAGGGGCCTAGGAGGGCCCCGAAGCGAGATGCGGCCGCATCTCGCTTTGTGGCCCCCTTGGGGCCCTCTTGGAGCCCTCTTGGCGGCCTCTTGGGGCCCTCGTGGACCCTTCCCTGGGCCCTCTTGGGCGCTTTGGGGGCTCTCTTGGGGGCATCTCGGGGCCCCATTTGGATCGGCCGCGAAGCGAGATGCGGCCGCATCTCGCTTTGTGGCCGTCTTGGGGCCCTTCTGGGGCCCTCTTGAACACTTCTTGAAGCCCTCTTGGGGCCGCTTGGGGCACCGTTTGGATTCCCCCCGGGGTCTTCGGAGGGGCCCAAGAGGGCCACGCATCGAGACGCGGCCGCATCTCGCCCTGTGGCCCTCTCGGGGCCGCTTGGAAAGCCTGCTGGGGCGCTCTCGGGGGCCTCTTGGGGCCCCATCTGCATTATTCCCAGTGCCTTTGGAGAGGCCCATTGCCCCAAGAGGGCCGCCGAGCGAAATGTCAGATGCGGCCGTATCTCGGTCTGCGGCCCTCGCGCAACATTCCCGGGGCCGTCTTGAAAGCCTCGAGGGCCCCGGGGGAACCCGGAGAGGTCGATGGGGCCTGGGAAGGACCGTTTCTTTGACGCCATCGGGCCGATGGGTCGCGGGCGGGTCGCGAGGGGGGCGGGGAGGGAGCGAGGTATCGTGAGTGTGAGTGAGTGCGGGTGAGTCTGAGCCTAAGTGTGCCCGAGCGAGTCTGAGTGCGAGTGAGTCTGAGTGTGAGTGAGTCTGCGTCAGCCCTAAGCCTGCGCATCTCAACGCCTACGCCCAGCGGTGGAGTGCGGACACGATATATTGGCAAGATATCACTATGGCGCATGATGACTGGACTTGGTGGTGTGTACCATACGCCGAGCTCATGATCAGGCTTATACCTCAGCTTCGGGAGTTGGCGCCAACTGAGGCCGCCATGCACGACATGGCCGTCGCCTACTGCGTGACCGCCTGGCGTGACGCTGCCGATCACAACGCGCAGGTATTGTTGGCCCTAGCCACGCATCTGGGCCTGACCTGGGGCATTGAGCCCGCAGGCGCCCCCCCCATTCCGCGGTGCCCCTCGGCGCCCCCCCCGCTCCTCCATGCTCCTGGCTTCTCCCCATTCGTCGGCGCTCCTCCGCGCGGGCACGGCGGCGACGGCGACGGCGGCGGCGGCGACGACGACGACGGCGGCGGCGGCGGCGGCGGCGACGACGACGACCGCGGCGACGGCGACGGCGACGACGACGACGACGACGGCGGCGACGACGACAGCGACGACGACGGCTACGGCGACGGCGACGGCAGAGACGACGACGGCGACGACGAAGGCGACGACGACGACGATGACGGCGACAACGCACACGCACACGCACTCCCTCTCTCTCTTCCATCTATCTCTGTCGCGGGTAGTTAGTGCCTCCAGTCGTAATGCAGCTGGTTTCGTTTTTCTAGGGGCGCGGAGGCTCGCGATCAATCGCGGTCTCCCTTGCCCGCCTTTCAGCCCCCCACCCCTGGCGGGGCGCGGCGGCCGGAACAGCGGGCCCCGCGCTTCGGTCAGCGGGGGCGGGGGGGGGGCGACGGTGCCGCCGTCCAGCGCAGCAAGGATCATTGTTGACAAAAGGACAAGGCTTGGGGTTTAGTCAAAAGTCATAAAGAGTTGACCGATGCTAGTTGGGTTGCGATCGTGACAGTGCTAATTTTGAGTTTTGTCGCGCCAGTTGTACCTTCTCGAATGATGAGGGCACGGCGTGCCCATCGCCATTGCGACGTGGCCTTCGGTCCACCCGGCCACCAGGATTGGAAACCTCTCGGGGCTCCTGTGGGCCTCGTCGGGGCCTCGGGGGTTGGAGGCAGTTGGGGGTTTCTGTTTTCGTTAGCGGGGGCGGGGGGGGGGTGTCTCGGGGCCTTCAGGGGAATTCTCGGACTGTGATGCTCGACTAGTCAGGTCGCGCTCCCTCTGTTGAGTGTCTCGTGGGGCCGTCTTGTCGGTCGTCCTGGGGTCTTGGGCCAAGGGTCGCTCCAGGACTCTAGGCCCCTCTTGGGCAGTCCTGCGGTTATCTCGAAATCTTGGCATGGCTCGGGGTGATCTTTCGGATTCTCGGGGCTGGGTCACCGGGCTCCGCCTTGAGAGCTCCAGGTCTTGAGGAGGGAGGGGGAGGAGGAGAAGGAGGAGGCTGGGGAGGAAGGACGGGGAGGGTGAGGGGGAGAAGGAGGGAGGGCAATGGAGAGGAGGAGTAGGAGGAGGAGGAGGAGGAGCCGGAAAAACAGAAAGAGGACGAAGAGCGGGGCTCGCACGCTTGCCCTCGGCGGCCAGCTCTGTCCCAGCTCTCTCTGCGATTTCCAGGTAAGCAAAACAAAAAACTCCCAGGCCCGAGACTGGCAAGTCTTGAAGGGCGTTCCCGATGCTTAGTGACCTGAGGAGAGGAGGGCGCGACGACGTCGACAACGTTCACTGCGGCCCACGCTGGCGCCTGCTCGCCTTGTCTGAATGATAGCCGCGCGGCGCTGGCGTCGCCTCCAGCGCATTCTTTGGCTACGGTTTCCCCATCGTGAAACCGTTCGTCCCACCGCGTTCTCTTTTTTCATTGGATTGGTTCGAAGCGCCCCATGGCGCAGCGTGCGTGACGGATTCGCCACCTGCGTCGCGCGTTGCGCACGCAGGGCTCGAAACTTGGGCCACGTCGTAAAAGAGGAAGTTCGACCGCGGGATTTTGCGTATTTGAGACGTCTTGCAACGGCTGTTTATAGATATTATAACTCTCTGGGCGTCCCCGCGGGGCGCGGGGCCAGGCCCCCTTGGGGCCACCTCCTGTTTTTGATGTTTTGGAATATCCGGTTTGGTTCCAATAAGGAGAGAGTCGGGGCTGACCAGTGGATGTGATGACACTACTCCAGAGAGGTATTTGGAGAGCCATTCTCATGTCTTGGGAAGGCTGATGGAGGCTGCCAGGGAGAATGCCCCCGCCGAACCCGTGCCGCAACCGCGTGAAGCTGCCGACAAGCTTCTGCGTGCCCGATCTGGCTGCAGCTTGGAAGAGTCACCTGTGGTGCCATGTCAGCCAAAGCTGGTCCCCCTCCCGCCCGAGGTCCATTCGCGCCCGTTTGCCGAGGACCTGTTGGAGGGTCGCGATCGAGATTTTCTCTGCCAGCTTGAGGAGCGGATCGTCAGATCGGATGTGGAGTTTTGGGAGTTTGAGGATAATGATGGCCCTATCTCGCCCTAGCTCGATGCGCGTCTGAAGTCCGACGTCGGCGCGTGCACCACCTTTGCTTGACAGCCTGTCGAGAAGGGCGTCGCGCAGTGGCGCTGTTACGCGAAGGAGAGAGTGACGCTCTTTTTCGTGAAGCAGGATTCTCGTCAGGGCCTGTATTTTTTTTGACGCCAGGCGAGCGAATCGCCGCTTCCACGACCCACCTTCTGTCAGCCTCGCCACCTGTGAATCTTTCGGCGACCTGGAGGTGTCGGGCGACCTTGCGGCGCGTGCTGCTTCGACAGACGCGCAGGACTGCTTCTACAGATTTCGGATCGGGAATGAGTTGGGTCGGTGCGTTGGCCCATCTGCCCTGCGAGCTCGCGACGCGGGGCTAGCTTGGGAGTTTATTGAGGGCGCCCCTCTTGGCCCGGAGGACTGGGCCCGCCCCTGCTTCGCCGCGCTGCCGACGGGGTTCAAGTGGAGCTTCTATTTCGCGCAGGTGGCCAACCAGGGGCTCGCCGAGAAGGTGCCTGAGCTGAAGTCCGCCAGCCGGCTCCAGACCTTCGGAGTGGGGCACCTACTGCAGTTCTGTCCAGATACGGTACACTATGTCTACGTGGACAATGTCGGACGAGGCAGGCTTGGCGATGCATGGTGACGAGAGCGCCTGCCCTCAGAGCGTCAATCTGGGAGTTGCGTTGGATGGCGCCCGCCCGGTGTCTCGGACGGCAGAAAAGAGATTCTGGAGACTTGATCGCTGCACCAGCTGGGCCCCGGCCCGAGGCTTGCTCAGTCCGAAGGGCGTGGGGGGGCCCATTGGACATCTCACCTTTGCCTTCATGCTCAGGAGACCTTTGTTGTCGGTGCTTATGCATTGCTACCAGTTTGCTCGAGTAGGTGGGGTTCGGGGCCTCCTCTTGCACACCAGGTCTTCTTGGGCTCTGGGGTGGGGTTAGTGGGTTTTAGCTGCAGATGTGTCTTTCTGGGATGGGCGTAGTAGCTGCGGATATGGATCTTGATTTCGCGAAAGGGCGCGGGCGCCGAGATGAGCGGCAACGCTGTCGTAGTCCTGAGGAGCTCAGAATCTGCCGCCCCGGGCCTCGTGCCTATTGTGGTCTGGGGGCTGGAGTTCGAGGTGCCCTATCAGATCCGTTCACTGTGACGGTGCCCCGAGGGATTGTTCAGCCAGAGCTATGGGAGGAGGGCCCCATCTTCCCAGAGGTGCCCTCAGAGCCCATCAAGAGTGCCCAATGGCGTCTTATTGATTCAGGCCGTTTTGCCCGTAAATAACCCTTTTCACATATTAGTGGCAAAAGCAGTGGTTTGGGCCCCGCGACGCCGATCTAAATATCATCGCCATAGTCGACGCCAGGTTTATTTGCGCGACAATGCCGGAGTGGTCTTCGCTTTTTCGAAGGGCCGGGCCAGCGATGCCAAGCCGAATTATTGTGGCCGTCGTTCCGCAGCCCTCGCGATGGCCCCTAACTGCGAGGTGCGTCTTCGTTGGGCCCCCATCGGAGCTCAACCCCGCTGATGAGCCATCTCGTCGGTTCGAGCCGGCCTCAGGTGGCAGGGCCCCGCGTGCACCCCCCGGGCTCGCCCTTCCCGATCCTGAACGCGTGCCTCATGAGCCTCGACCCCTGGCTGCTGGCGCCGCCGAGATACCCAGAGTCGAGGACCGACCTGACCAACCCAGTTCGGACCTATCCCAGGCGGCCAGTTCTTGCCTGGGAGAAGGAAAGGGCATTGAAGAGGTCCCAGGAGACACGACTTACGAACAGGAAGAGCGGGACTGCGATGGGGCTTCACCCCCATAACATGGACTGGACCTCAGCCGTGCGGAGTGGCAGAAGCTTCTTGGAGAACGGAACGGCGCGGGCTTCAGCCAGAAAAACGTTCTCGCTTGCCGAGGGGATGATCTCGGACCGCGCCCAGAGGGGGGAGATGAGTCTTTTGGGCGCGCTAGATTCCGACCCAATGCCGCGCGACCTGTTCGGCGAGATGCACTTCGAGGGCAAGGGCGACTACGGCGGCCGTCAGTTGACCGCAGCCCAGCTGGACTACAAGCTCGGGGACGGGAGGAGGGAGGACCTGAGTCTTCTTCGGGCGCACCGTGCGCTCAGGGGCTGAGACGCGCGAGCCCCGGGCTTCTCTCGCCTCCCAGAGGCCTTCGAGATGCGGGCCGCGCTGTGCGCGGGACTGCCGCGGGAGCTGACAGAGAATGTCAGGGTGGCCGTCTTCGCGCTCCTAGTGATGCCGGGCGCCGACGCGCGTCCAGGAGGGGCGCGCGCGCTACCTGCTCACCGGTTGTCGGCGCCAGTTCAAGACATCGCCCGGCACGGGGTGCTCGTCTTCAGGCCCCATTGCGGCGAGATGGTGCAAGTGGCCGCCGCCAGGGTCGACATGCCGAACATGGCGATGTCCTTGGCCCGACCCAGCGGGGCCTCGATCGACTGTCTCGATCACGTTCTACCATTTGGAGAGACCAGAGAAAAAGGGCGATGGCAGAGCGCAAGCAATGTAATACGTTACATGGAAAGGAGGGGGATTCCCGGGCGAAGGCAGATCTTACCCAGAATGTCCAGAGACTGCGCGACGGTGCGCGCAGAGCACCTGCGGGAAAATGTCAACGATCCGAACGGATTCTGCGAGTTCCCAACCTCGCCGCCAACTGGAGCGTGGATGGCATTTTCTCGGGAAGCGGCAGGTTCACAGGGGCCGTGAAGCAGTCGGGTTGACGAACACTGTTTCGACTGACGTCATCCACGATCCCCAGGAAGGCTTGAGTAAGAGATCAGTTCAGAGAGAGGTGGTCGCTAGACTTCTCAGCTCTGAATGTAGAGGCGCCCTGATAGGCTGCCACTGCGCGATCCGTTCCAGAGCTAGGCGTGGGGGGGGGCCACCCTTGAGAACCAACTCGCATGGGTTTGGTGTTCCGATTCTCTCTGATTCGGATCGGGAAAAAGTCAGCGTTGGAAACAGCTTGGCCGCTTTTTCGCTTCGTGTCTTTAACTTGTGCCGCGAGCTTGGGGAGATTTGTAGAATGGAGAAGCATCAGACCTCGTTGCTTTGGGAGCTCCCCGGTTTCCAGAAAACCGTCGCCCTGCTTAGAGTCGCGACTCGCGATGCCCACGTCAGTAATGGGGCGCCGAGTGGCGGAAGGCCGCGCGCTCCATGATCTGCAACACTTGTGATATTTCAAGCAAACTTGAGCGCAAATGCTCAGGGAGAGGGAATTGCAGTCGGACTGGATGCGTTCACCGGGTCCGCGAGGGAAAAGCAGCTGATGGCCGCTTCTGGATTTTTACTGCTCAACCATACCCTCGCCCTCTGTGATCGTGCCTCAATAAAATGTTTGCGCCGCGCTAAACAGCGCAAGATTGCCCCCCCGGGAGGTTTCCTTTTATGATTCCAGGATTGTCAGCGCCTTGCTCTCTCGTAGTTCTGCAAGGCAGTGCGAAGCTGGCGCCCCGCGAGTGAAATCCAGGCCTGACATCACTACAGAACCTGCTTCTGAGTGAGAAAAGTCATGGCTGTGCGGGCACTTTAATGACTGGTGAACGGCTCGGCGATGTATCTGTCCATAGCCGCTCCTCTGCTCTTCAGCCCTCCCACCCTTTAAAGGTGCGCTAGCGCCTTGCTGCCTCTTAGTTCTGCAAGTCAGTGCGAGGCCGGTGCCCCGCGAGTGAGCTCCAGGCCTGACTCCACTACACAACCTGCTGCTGAGTGAGAAAAGTTACTTCAAACATACGTGGAAACGTTTGATTTTAGCCTCTTCGGGCCTTCCTGGAGGCCCTGTTGGAGGCCTCTTGGGCCGTCTTGGGCCACTATAGTGCCATGTTCGGCCGTCCTGGTAGGCCCCTGGCCCGTCTGACGCCGTCGGAAGCCGTCTCGGGGGCCTCTCTGGGTCCATTTGGTCCCCTCTGGGAATGTTCCAGGGCCGTCTTAGATGCTTTCTTGGGCGTCTGCACGCCCCCTTGGGCCGTATCTGGTCCATCTTGGGGCCGCTGTGGGGGCTAATTGGGCCGTTCTGGGGCCATCTTGGAGGCCTCTGGTGCGATATTGAGGCTGTCTTTGGAGGCTCTTGGGCCGTCTCGGGCCGTCGGAATGCCGAAAAGAAGCACATGCCACAATCTCAGAAAGAAAAAAAAGAAGGAGCATTAATGATTTGGGTCTCTTCTGGAGGCCCTCTGGAAGCCTCTTGGGCCGTCTTGGGCCATTTTGGAGCCATATTGGGCCGTCTTGGTGGGCTCGTAGCCCGTCGGAAGCCGTCTCGGGGGCCTCTCCGGGCCCACTTGGGGCCCTCTCGGGATGCCCATAGTCGTCTTGGAGCGCGGGCGTCCTCGAGGCCTCTTGGGCCGCCGTGGGGCCGTCTTGGGGGCCTTGGGCAGTCCTGAGACAATGGAAGTGCTGCGCGAGCCATAGGCACCTGGCCGGGAGCGCGCGGCGGCGGCTCAGAGGGCACCTGCAATTGCAGGTTCAAGGGCGGTGGCGTCGACGCGGGCCTGATTGCGCTGCTGCAGCGACAATTGGATAGGCGTGAGCCCGAGAATCTCTCGAGGCCTGCGCCAGCACCCCCGGCGACGGCGGACTGCGAGAGCCAGCGCTTTGGAGTGTGCGCGCTCCTGCTCATGTGTCTAGTCTCGGTAGTGCTGGGACTGAGGGCACGCGACGCTCATGCGCAGCTGCCAAGGTCTCGCGCGGTCACAGGGGCGCTTGCAGATGGCGCCTATGGCGGAGCGCAGGAGGACCACTCTCGGACGGCTTCAGAAGTACGGTCGCGCCCTCGCCCATTACGACCAGGCAGACGATTACTGGTACGAGCGGCTCCTGCTCGAGCAGTGGGGGCCGACGCGGCGTATCATCGCCACCCCGTACTACGCTCCGTGCGATGAGGAGCTGGCGGAGGCCATCGGCGTCCGGGAGGTCGGGCCACGCGGCGGCGTCGGCGGCGTCCGCGGCAATGCGCTGCGGATCGACATGGCTGAGTACAGTCGCCGTCAAGAGGAGGTTGAGGCCGCCGCTTCGGTCTGCGTGTCGGACATTCGGCGTGAGGAGGAGCGGGCCCTGGTGGCTGGAGGCGACGCTGCACGCGCGGGCGATGCTGCCGCTGCCGGGGAGCCTGGAGGCGAGGCTCGCGCCCGTGCCGCGTCAGCCTTGGGCCCCGCAGTTTCACGTGGGACGTGAGTGGCAGCTGGGGTTCGCGGGAGCTACCAGATTGGCGGCGAGCAGGTGGATGTGAGGCCTGCGCGTGCTCTGGGGGATCGTCGCAGCCTTGGATTGGCAGATGGTAGTGCGCTGGCCCTTGGTGCCCCTGGCTCCGTGAGCGCGCTCCCGCCGCGCGGGCCCTTGCAGGCCGTGCGCGCTTGGGCGGTGAAGACCGACGTGCTGGGGAGGAACAGCCGCGCCTTTGTTGAGGCGCTGCAGGGTATGACGCCAGAGCCCATCCCTCGCTGGGCCAGCAGCGGGCTTTGGACCTGCCAGTTTTTTTTACGCAGCTAGCGAGGCTCGGGTACACGGGCACGCAGCGCCATCTGCGGTGGAGGCAGGTTCTGGCTTTGATGCCTGCCGACCCAGGTGCGGTCGGTGCGCCTTTTTGAGCGAGTTGATCGATGTCGGTTGCCAGTTGGATCAGATGTGCTTGCCGAGCCTCGCCTGCTACGAGATGGCGTGCAGGCGGTGCCACCTATGGGGGGAGGTCCACTTTGACCGTCTTGAAACTGCCCTCTCCACTGCTCGCGCAAACATCCCACCTTCCCACCCGCAACTAGGTCGCAAGACCTCTTAAGACAAGACCGTGACGGCAGGTGCCAGATGGCACTTGGCCACGACACCGACGCCGACGGCGACAGCGGCGACGACGACGGCGCCGCCGACACCGACGACGACGACGCCGACGACGTCTCCAACGACTCCGACGACGACAGCGACCACGACGACGGCGACACCGACGACGACGACGTCGCCGACGACGACGACGATGACAACGACGACGACGCCGACGACGGCGACGCCGACGACGACGACGAAGACAACGACGACGACGACGACGACGACGTCGCCAACGAAGACGACGACGAGGGAGGAGGGAGGACGACGACGGCGACAACGACGACAACGACGACAACGACGAGGGAGGAGGGGGGACGGCGACGACGCGAACGACGAAGAAGGAGGAAGGACGGCGGCGCCGGCGACGGCAACGACGAGGGAGGAAGACGACGACGACAACCACGACGACGACGACGGCGACGAAATAGGAGGGACGACGACGAGACGCCGACGACGGACGACGACGACGAGGGGGGATGAGGAGGGGCGACCACGGCGCGACGACGACGACGACGCGGGAGGAGGGAGGACGGCGACGACGACGACGACGACGCAAGAGCGCGCGCGCACGCTTTTGCGTTGAAAATCCGCGTTGCGAAGCCTTGGGTTTGTTGGTTTTTTGGGCGCGCGATTTTGAAATCCTTCCGAAACTGATGGGTTTTGAAGGATTTCGGCATGCGCGCGCGACGACGCGCGCGCCTGCACTTTGTCTTATTTTTGCATGGGATTCTCGCGACGGCACACGCGCGAGGGCGTTCGACAGATTCCGACATGCGCTCGCCTGAAGCCCGTTTAAGAGCATTGCGTGAAATTCTTGAAAAAAAACGCATGGTTTTCTGAAGAGTTCGCAGGGGCTCGCACGGGAGCTTTTTTAGCAAATCAGCGTTGCGAAACCTTGTGTTTTCCTTGTTTCGTGGAAGCTCGATTGCGAAATCCTTCCGGCACCTAAAGGTTTTTGACGGATTTCGGCATGCGCGCGCGACCACGCGCGCGCGCACTTCGCCCCACTTTTTGCAAGGGGTTCGTGAACAAGTGTTATGTTAGAACAAAACTGTCACCGCATAATGTTTTTTTTTTTTTTTTGCCAAGGGAACCTTAGGGGGGGGAACCCGGCCCCGCTGGGATAGTGTAACTTTATAGTTAGGATGGACACGTGGCCAGAATCATATATGCTTTACACATCCGAAAGGGGGGGCGATGGCGCCGGGGCGGAAGGCGGCGCTGGCACGGGCGGCAGCGGCTGCGTCGATTAGCGCGTGATCGTCGTCGGGCATTTGTCTGGGCGTGGCGCGGCCCTGGTGGCGCCGGAGCTCATGGAGGCGGTGGCTGAGCGCCTTCAGAAGGACATGGCCGCGCTGAAAGAATTGCGCAAGGCAAGAGACGCTGCTGTCGCCAGGGGCCGCGCCCGGAGGTGCCGCGGTGCCCGCGCCGTATGTTCATGCGCGCGTGGCACTAGCCCCGCCGCCTGCAGTCTCGGGCCAGGCGCTGATGCGGGCACCGCCGCTGCTGGGCGTCAGGGAAAAAAGGAAGGCCGCTGCCAAGACGAGAGTTGCCGCCAGGGCAGCCGGCGCGGCAAGGGGACCTGCTTCGCAATT